AATTATTCAAACACAAATCAAACAATAATCATGCAATTAATCCATCAAGAATTAAACCCTAGATCATAATTAACACACTTTTATCAATCCCAAATCTCTAATTAAATTTACTCACAATTTATAATTGAACTAACAATAGAATTGACAAAATAAGAATTAATTGTCATTAATTAAAAGAGAGAAAGAACTGAGAAACAATCTCATAATATTGAAGATCCAATGTTGAAAAACAAGAAGGAATTTGTTCCTAGACTTGTCTCTAAACTTAGTCTACAGCCTAAAACTGCGTTTATAGGATGTTTAAATACTAAAAGTGAAAAGTGGCCAAAATTGGGCTTTTGGGGGCGAATTATATTCTGGTCATTCTCAGTCGCGTGCACGACGTGCGCACTTCGTGCACACAGCATTCGCATCTACGGTCCGAATTTAGCTATGCTTCCTTCAGCAAGTTGTAGCTAATGAAATACTCTATCCACCATAACTTGAAAAACTGGAATTGGATCATTCAATCAAAAGATATTAACGAAATGGTGGAAGGTCGCATCCTCTAATTTCAATATCGATTATCTAACTTCCTCGTCTGTTTTCACCTTGATCCTTTCATATTCAGGTCATAGTGTTTTCATATTATTTGTAGCCCATTGAGTTATCTTTCATATGAAACTTATTCATTAATGATTACTTTTGTTAATTAATGAAAATTATTTTGTGGCAAAAATAAAAATTAATTAAAATTAACGGCATTAAGGGTTGCTTATGTGGTGCAAGACTTAAAGACATAGAATAAATTTAATAAAATCTAATGGCATGTTTTTACTCACAAAACTTAAATTTAAAAGTCCACGTTAGATATGCTTACTCGGGGTTAATTAGTCGGGGGTCACCCATCCCAAGACTACTCCCGTGTAAGCACATTTAACTTGAAGTTCTTAGCATATGAGCTCTTTAAAAAGAAACGTGTCTTGTTTGTATGAGTAGTACTATTTATTCTGATCTCAAATATTACATACCCAATTTGTCTAAAAATAAATCACATATCCTTAAATCTAAACACTTACAACCATGTGATATTTTTGTAGACTTTTCTCTCAAATTTAAGTAGATAATTATATATACATGCATTCCAACTCTGTAAGTTGTTATATGTTGCATATATACCTATATGTGACCAAAAAGGGATTTTTCTTTAAATATTAGAAATCAATCATTAAAAAAGTGATCGCTTTTGTATATAGATAAAAATGTACCTAATAAGGTAATATAATCAGAAAACCTTGAATGTCACTACCAGTGTCAAGATGACAGGATGATTTTAGTTGGACTATTTCAGTCTCAGATAGGCTAAAAATATATATAAAAACACACATACACTAAACCGTCCAAACGTCAACAAGACCAGTTCAGAAACTTCAATCCAATTAAAAGCAATCCTCATTGAGTCACTATTGCCGCCACTTAAGTTACATCCGTCGTGGAATATGTCATTGCGACCGTCGGGAAATTTTTCACTGATTTTTTCCAGTGAAGTTTAAGAAAGTTGAAATGTAGGAAAAAAATTGGTCAACCTTTTCTAGTGACCTCTAATGGTTGCATGGTGATTTTTGGTAGCAGCCGCTGGTAGTGTCACCGGAGGCAAGGGGTGAGTGAGGGCAGGGATGAGCGACTGTGTAGGAATTTGGAGATGAAATGTATATTATGTAAAATATAGCTTGTCACATTATGTAAAACAAATATTGTGTATGCGGTAATTCCCCAAATAGGACTAAATAAAACTTTAATTGCAAAAATAGGACTAACTTTAAAATTCCCTAAATTGGACTATTTTCCAATCCTACCCTTTCTTTGTTTTATTCCAATTCATATTTCATTAACAATTAAAACATAAAAGTAATCACATAGCCATACTTATAATAAAAATGTAAAAAAGTTAAAAACACGGAAAATAAATATTAAATAATAATAAAAAAATTCAAAAAAATTCAAAAACTTAAAAATTTAAACAAAAAAATTAAAAAAGTTAAAAATTAGAATAAAAATATGCCGGCCTCTATTGCCGCCTCAACAATTTCCTAGCACCACCATCTCCGATCACCAGAAAAAATTGCCAACATGTGTCGGTAATGCCATCTTGATGGCAATTTTAGAAAAAAAACTTGGCATAGAAGAAAAAGATTGCACTTTTACACAAAATGGCATATTTTTGCCGATCAGAGGTGACATTAATGGGAAATGCCTCCATATTTTTTATGTTTTTTATTTTTTATATCTATTTTAATTTGATTTTTCAGTTTGTAATTTTTTTAAAAAAATTGTTATTTTTTAAAGTATTTTTAAATTTTTTATAATTGTTACGATTTTATTATAAATTAGAGTATTTTTATATTTTTATTACAAATTAAAATATGTTTTTTCTATTAATAGAAAGATAAGAGTATATTTTAGTCCTATTTTGGGAAGATAAATAATATAGTCCTACTTGTGCATTTTTGGGATTATGATTCATTTAGGGCTATTTTTCCTTCCATTTATTGTTTTCAGTGAAAATACGTGTGCCCCTGTTCATTATGGGAAGATTAGAATGCGCCCATCAAAATGTGGAATAAAAAAGTACATGCACTTCTTCTTTAATTTGACGTAGTTATTTCAAATGAAAATTATTAAACATTTAAAGATAGGCTAAACTTTCATTTCAATGCAACTTTTTTCCACCATGGTATTGATTAAGTTTTAAAATCTAGGCATCTCCTTTTAAAGTTAATCAAAGTTAGAGATGTCATAGGAGAGCGTGTTTTTCAAATATGAACGTGGCCGGATACATATATGCATAAATGCATGTCCGTGATTAATCAAAGTTTTTTTAGAAAACTAAAAATCTAGTTCTAGTAGTTTTTTAAAGCCATCCAATTCAAGTAAAAACACCACATAGATGCAAGAGGTGATTTTTATAATATAAGAATTTCACTTTTTCAATATGTGTAAGCTTCCTTACCAAATACGATAGTATACGACCTTTCAAAAAAAAAATGGGAGAAAGACTCCAATAGGACTAAAACATAGCCTTTGCACTTAAATAGGACCGAGAGCTTTTATAAACCTAAATAGGAGTAAAGTTGATCAAAGGGACAAAATTACCCCTGCATTCATACGGAGTAGTCTTCGTGGGCTGAGGCAACAAGCTCTCTCTCTCCCGCTTCGCACAAAAGCTGAGTCCCCGACTCCCTGCGCGCGATTCACTGCAATTAGCAAATGCATTAATCGATTCATCCATCGGCCACCATCAATTTCATAGACCCCCGCAGGGAGCTGCCGCAACGCTGCCTGGAGCTGTCATCCGCCATCGGGAGCCGGCGACCGCCGCTGGGAGCTGCCGCAACTGCATGGAGCCGCCATCCGCCGTCGGGAGCTAGTGACCGCCGTCCACCACCGCACACTGCTAAAACGTTGGATAACTCTTCTCGTGAACTGCTGGTCTGCCGGAGAAATGCTGTTGCTCTCCTTTGGCGTGAAGCTGCCAATGCATAGTTCTATTCCTGACTTTTTCTTTTGCTTTCTACTTCAATTTTGTCAATTTTACTCTTTGTTATTTTACTCTGTTTTGGTTGTTTTGACATTCCGTTCAAACAGTCACATGTTGTCGCTGAATTCATTGTTGCTGGTCGTCGCCTGTCATTCATTATCACAAAAATATGGGGACACCCTGACAAGAGTGATCCAAATCATTTGAATGAGAAATAGAGCTTTTATCAAATAAAGTTTCGATTGATTTTTAAATAATTTTAGAAAGCTTATATTCTAGCAGGAGAAATTAGGATTTTGGGATTTGTACTATTCAAAACCAATTTCTTGTTCTACTTCAGACTACTTGTGCGTGGATGAACTGTGGAGAAGGAAGGTGATATATTGAGCTCAGCAAAGTCACTTATTGAGCTTTCTTCTTTTTGCTGTCCAGATCTAATTGTGATTTTTCTCTTGTTACAATTTTGAGTTGGATTTGTGATTGAAATTTTAAAATTTGGAACCAAAATGAATTCGGGTTGACCTGACATATCTTGACACAATGCCAATGCTAATAATAATGTTATAAAAATGTATACAAATGTCACTGGGTTAACAAAATATTACAATGACAATGTCATTGTCGATGCTATAAAATAACATTTGTAATTATGAAAATGTCAATAGCTATTATGACAATGTTAATTTTTAAAAAAAATGTCAAAAGAATGTCATAAAATGTATTAAAAATGTCAAAAAAACGTATAAAATGTCACTGGTTTAAAAAATGTCACAATGGTGATGTCATTGCCGATTCTATAAAATGACATTGTAATTATGACAATGTCAATAGCTATTATGACAATATTAATTTCATAGTCACAATATCAAATCCCTAGCAGAAACTCGGAAGAAATGCATTTTTGTTCTGAAGTTATATATGAGGAACCATTCTAAGTACTATTTTGAGTTGGATTTGTGATTCAAATGTTAAAATGTGGATCCAAAATGAAATTGGGTTGACCCGACATATCTTGACACAATGGCAATGTTAATGTCATAAAATGTACAAAATGTCACTGAATTAAGAAAATGTCACATTGGAAATGTCATTGTCGATGCTATAAAATGACATTGTAATTATGACAATGTCAATAGTCATTGTGACAATGTTAATTTTATAAAAGAAAAGTCACAATGTCAAAAAATGTTGTAATGACAATTAATCACGACGACAATGTCAATGACAATGTCAGAAAAATGTATTAAAAATGTCAATGATAATGACATCAGAATGATAATGACAATGTCATAAGAATGTCAATCATTACGAAAATGACATTGTTAAAAATAATGACATTTTATTTTCAACAGGTGCAACGTTTGCAAGACAAAACAAATTCACATTCATCACTTTATACTTTATGTTTATTTTCCCTTGTCTATAAATATAATATAATGTAAATGACCAAAGGAATCAAAATAACAATTTTTTTATACGTAGGAATCAAAATAACAATGAAGAAGCAATTAATATAGGGAGTAAAAATTAAACAAAACCAACTAAAATTGAGATTTGGAAAAGGAAAATTAGAAAAACATCAAAACCAAACACAAGTGCCCTGGAACGATTCTAATGATACATATGTAAAAACAATGTTGTCAAACAAAACTTCACAATGTCATGTGTCTCAAAAAAGATTAATCAAAACAAACCATGAAGAAATTGAAAAAACGATGAAGAAATAGAAAAATGACTCGCATGGGATAGATATTTAGATATTTCAGCCACATCTTCTTCTTGAGTTCCTTCACCGTTTTCATCTCTTACGAGGATCACAGCGCGATTTGACTGGTAGAAGATGGAGAATTGGACGCAGACTTGAATCTCTTGCTGGGAGGAGGCTGCACAACCGCCGCAGGAAGTGTCTCGACTCGAGGATATGCCGCTCTACCCGGAATTGCGGCTAGATCTGCGAAATCGAAAGGCGAGTCGTCGAAGATCTGAGATGAGCAACCAGGTTGGGAAGACCGTTGACAACGGTGGAGAATTCGGATTGGGCATAGTGAACGGAGTGAGCTCAGAAATCATGGAATCGGCCCACGACGGGTCCTGCTTAACACTACACATCGCCTCTTCAAGCTGCTCGAACAAATTTCATCCCGACATCCTTCACTTGCAGCGGCGAAATCTAATTCACCGGAGAATTGATAATTCAAACAGAGGAGCGGTGCAAGATATATCCGTCTTGGCCGTCATCTTCATTGGAGCAGCCCTGAAACCTGGTTGCCGTCCTGCCCCGTCCATCATCTGGTTCTCATCAACTTGAGTTTCGCCTTTGTAGTTCGACTAAGGAAACAGAAGGCCTGAGACTTGAATAGGGGCAATTTGGGAAAGAATGGAAAATTAACTCCTATTTAGGAGTAAAAAAAGTGTCGGTCCTATTTAATTACATAGGGAAAGTTATGCTCCTATTTAGCACCATTTCCCCTTGTCGTACGAGAAACTGCTCGGGCGGGGGAGTGTATCTCTTCCACGGTGAAAATTTGAATTTTCAATTTTAATAGATTTGGGATTGGTCCGTTCAGCGCAGTGGCGTATCCAGAAAATTCGGCCAATGGGTGCGAATTTACACTTACGCTATCACACATTTTTTAGGAAATAAATATTAATTAAAAAATTGACAATTTATTAAAAGATAAAATATTTTTTTATAAGAAACATATGCAATATGTAATTATAAGTTTATAACTAACTTAAGTTACAAATAAGATGTGATTGAAATTACGCTAAGTTTTTCAATCTGTCCTGCTAACTCCCTCTGTCCTGGTAATTAAAATTGTCTCATTTTACCTTTTTGGAAAACTATACTAAGTTTGTCTCATCATTTCAAATTTGGTAAAAGTTTGTGTAGCTCTAAATTATTTTTATTTTATTCTTATTTATCAATTCAATATTAACAACATAAACACACTTCTCGTAATAACCGTGTCACGTCATCTTGTTCCAATGTTAGTGGAACGAGGGTAGTATCATTATTAGTTACATTAAAATAAATTATTTAAAATTAGTTTGAATCTTAGGTTTAGACATTCTATAATTTATTAAATACAAAACAAAAAAATACATAAGAAATGGATGAAGTTTATAATTATAAGTGATTTAAGTTACAAATAAACAAGTTTTAATATCTGAAAAGATGTCACTTATTAGCTACATTAAAAAAAATTAATTTGAATGTTAAATTTAGACAAATAATAAACAGTTTCAAAAGGAAAAAAAACTGAACTAAGTGGCCAGTAGGATTTGATCTTGGACAACCCGCAGGAGCACTCATCACTCCTACCACGAAGCTACGGAACAAACTATGTGCAGCTTGAAGTCTAAACAGAATTATACTATACATATGACAATGCTATATACACCTAAATAAAATTCGATATATGTATATATAATGGGGTTGGGTGGGGGTTGAGTGGGGGCAGCTGCCCCCACGCCAGTTTTAGTTTTTTCTAAAACTAAAAATTATCCATAAGATTTCAGGTTACGAAAATCAAAGACCGAAACAAGTTGAGACTCATATATTTTGTCTGTGTCGGATTTTTAGTAGCCAGGTGAGGGTAGAGGTCAGGCGGTTAAAGTATGTACGAATCATCATCACACAATATTCACAGTGTAATTTTGTATTTTTAACTCTATTTTCAATTAAACTTACTCACATACGGAGTATACAAATCACAAATAATTAATATACTATGCGTAGTATAAGACAAATAATTAATAGTCTTTAAAAATACAAACAATTCAAATTTAAACAATGTAATGTGTCTTAGTATTCAGTCTAAGATAAATATGTATAACAAATGTTACCATAATACATTAATTTTATAATAAAGGTCACCATTTTGATTTTGACCAATTTGGGCTGGATTATAGAATTTAGGGACCAACCGAGTCCGGATTTTGGAGTTCGATTAGGTTCTTTTTATAATTTAACCAGGACCATCAAGAAAGAAAAAGCGGACCGTGCGCTAACGTTTTTCAAGCCCACCCCTACATTTCAACCTTTCAACGTTTTGTAAAATGAGATTTACAAACTTTTCATGCCACTTTTTAATTTTTTCTATGAACATTTGAAATAATGATAAATATACGATTAAAAGTAAGACATCAGATAAAAATATACGAGACATTTTTTATACCACTTCTAGTGCCTATAGTAATAACTTTAGTCACATTTCATCCATGCGTTTCGTGTTCTTAATATCTATGGATAAATCTCTAAATTAAATATAAATATTTGATTTGTTAGGTATCAATGAAAATGGGATTTGATGTAATTTTAAGTACAGATATTATCAAATAAGTATCGTTCGTTTTTCTTTCTTTTTTCTTCATTTCACATTTATTGATAGCAAATAGTCTTCCAAAGTTCCAAATACCACATCACAAAGTTCCTAGTCCTAATTATGGATTCTCATTCCATATCAACCCTCCTATATAAAATAACTCACATCCTTTTGCTGCATTGTTCAAGACATAATAATGTGTGTGATTGCCAAATTCCCTCCCATCTGCTTGTCCTCGTTATGAACCTTAATTGGTTGTCTATCACCAGCAACAGGCTACAATTAAGAGGTTATTAGCCAATCAACTTATTCAATATAGTTGCATTTGTTAGTTAGATTTGAGCCTTATTTGCGTTTTCTTCTATTTTAAGAAGTCATTTATTTTAAAGACTATATGAAAAGCTAAGTGATTTAAAAAAATAAACGATAGTTTCTTCAGTAAAAAAAACTATTCTTGTGTAATTGAGAAAGTGAAAAACATTTTAAAACATTTCTTTTTCCCTTACTGCATTTGGTTTAAAGTGCTTAAATTAAATAGAATAACTTGTTGAAAACACTACTTTTGATCAATTTTCAAAAGAAAATGCAGTAAACCACTTTCTTATGCAATTACAAATACTCATGCTAAATACCGTGGTAGAATTTTTTTTGCCGGTAAATTTTTAATCATTCCTCCAACCTCTCCCGATCGGGAGTGGAGCTGGGGAGGGCCAACTTAAGCCCTGACTCACCCCCAATTCAAAAATGCCTTATTTTTTAAGATAAGAAATTCTGTATAATATTTTTTTCCAAATATATTCTTTGTACCCGTCCGGTCCACCGCCCCTGCTCCTAATGTATGTATGCATGCACACATATACTTCAATGAACTATAGAATTATTTAATCATTAACTTATACGATAGTATATTAATTATGATGTATCACCAAAAATGAAGATACACAGGAAAAATCGCTCTTGGGTAATTAATTTGCTGGCATAATTAATTTGAAACAATAAATTAAAGACAAAGAAATGTGGAAGCTTAGGATTGGAGAGGGTGGAAAGGATCCATACTTGGATAGCACCAACAACTTCGTCGGCCGGCAAACATGGGAGTTCGACCCTACTGCCGGAACGCCGGAAGAGCTCGCTGAGATCGAAGCCGCCCGCCGGGAGTTTTGGAACAACCGATATAAGGTCAAGCCTAGTTGTGATCTTCTTTGGAGAAATCAGGTAACATAAATTTAATACACAACCTTTCTCTCCCTTTTCTTCTTTCTTCTTTAATATTGCAATGTTCTTTTCATCAACAAATTTGACTAGAGTTTGTGTTTCATTAAATATATGTGAGACCTCTAGCATTATGTTAATATGTAAAAAGTTTATTTAATTCAACAGAAATCAAATAGGAATAGCCCAAGATCTTAGGCTATTGTAAATTGACAATATTTACTATGATCACTGTGCACTAATAATGAGAGTTTGAAATTGAACATAGTCATGCTTATTACAATTATTACTATGATCACTGTGCACTATAAATATCATTTCATCTACCATCTTTTTTAGTTGTATTTTAATTATTATATTTTATATGTACAATTATTTTTGTAGTGTTGAGAAATTTGTTTAAATAGGAGTAAAAACAATGACTATTCAAAAATAGGGGTGCTGTATATTTTCATAAAATAGGAATAAATTATTGCAACTTTGAAATTGTATTGTCATATTTTGGCATTACGTGAAATTAATAAGGCAATATCATTGACATGGTACGTTCGTACCCATCCAACGCCGAAGTTGTCTCTTATGCCGGCTAATGTTTGGAATATTGAAACACATAACTCGAACAAAATACGATTTAATACTAAGTACTAATTTTATATACTATCGTATATACGACTGAGTTAAAAACATGAAAGTATCAATAGACACTACAGATAGACCTACATTATTTTCATGTATGTACTAACAATAGATATATACGTACGTTAGATTCAACCTTCTTTTGGGCAACAAGGTGGTTAATTGTTCTATTATTTCAAAGTGTGTAAAAATATAAGATGATCTGGAACATAAAATTGGAATAAAGCATCACCTTTGTTGAGATGAAATCATTGAATTCATGTTATTTTACTTCTTCCATTCTTTAATAGTTGCAACACTTTGAATTTTACATTATTCACACACCTTACTTTGACCATGATTTTCTACTAATACTACGTACTTCCGTTCTTAAATAAGTGCAACAGTCAACATTTCACATTTGTCGAAGCACAACTTTGACCATTGATATATATAACTCTCTATTAGTAAAAAAATTAAAAAATCAGATTTTGAAAATTTACAATGAGACAAATTTAGTACGGAATAATATTTTTTTCAAAAAAATATATTAATACATCAATAAAAAAAATGTAGTCAAAGTAGAACACGTGAATATTGTAAAATTTGCGATGTTGCACTTATTTAAGAACGGAGGTAATATATATTATCAAATTATAATATTTAAAATACTTTTAAATTTCTCTTAATGTGAACTTCCATTCTATAATAGTTGCAACACTTTGAATTTTACACTATTCACACACCTTACTTTGACCATGATTTTCTACTAATATATATTATCAAATTATAATATTGAAAATATTTTTAAATTTCTCTTAATGTGAACTTCCAAAATATTAAACTTTGATAATGTTTATTAATACATAATTAAAGTCAAAATTGTGCATTCGCAAACGTAAAAGTCAAACTATTGCAATTAAAAAAAGAACGGGGGTAGTACAATAGTATTAATTATTAATGGTCGTCCAGGAATGATTTTATATTCCATTGACATGACCTTTAAATTTGGTCTAAATTTATTGTTTATAATTTACAGTTTCTTAGAGAGAAGAATTTCAAGCAGACAATCCCACTCGTGAAGGTGGAAGATGGAGAAGAAATCACCCATGAAACGACAACTGCTGCATTGAGAAGAGCAGTTCATTTATTCTCTGCCCTGCAAGCAACTGATGGTCACTGGCCTGCTGAAAATGCTGGTCCCTTGTTCTTTCTTCCACCATTGGTTAGTTCGTTGCTTCCCTACTTTTCAAGTGTTTGATGAAATGCTCATTCTCATCATTTATCCCCCTTTTGACAAAAACTTTAAGGTCATGTGTATGTACATCACCGGCCACCTTAATACGGTTTTCTCATCAGAACATCGTAAAGAGATTCTTCGATACATATATTGTCACCAGGTATGCATAAA